ATCTCAGAATTCTCAGATTAAAGTCAGAATTATTATTGTTTTATTTTTTCAATGGCCCTAATCCTCTTCTGTAAATTGTTTACCTTTTTGACCAATACGATTCTGTTTAAAATCATTGAAAACTATTTTAATCATGTATTTATTTTTGACTTTTATCGGGCCAATAGTTAAGAACTACTGATAGCAACATATCAAAAAGTATTACTTAGTTTGAAACATTTGCAGCAGAGTTTCAGCTCTTAAATCTACAGGAGTCAAAGTCACATGACTGCACAGTTGGCTGCGTTTGTTGGAAAACAGAGGCTTCAGCTTATACATTGCATTAACTTAATTAATAACACTCCCAAAAACTCGAGTAGATCTCATTGTGCATCAAATTTATTAAACGTAAAGTTTGAAAATACTGGTAAGTTTATTACAGCATTTTTGTTGCAAATTGCTCAATATCCTGAATGAATGAAACTGTTCATTATACTGTTATTTATTAGTATTTAATAAAAACATACCTCTTGGGTCGAAACGGACACCTAGCTCCTCGCTCATTATAGCTAGTATTGTTTGAGAGCGGCCACAATCAGCTGGACCAATGGACCATCAGCAGCAGAACTTTAGCTTTACCAACAACTGTGCCCCTTAGCCTACTTCCTGTTTTTAGACAAGCGAACAGGGATGCCATTTTAAGTCGTCTCCTGCTTAATAGGTAAACCCTCAAAGCAAATATAAACTAGTTTAAAAACATTTATTATGGATTTAAATTACCCGTAAATAGCCTATATATAGACTATTTTGTATAAATTATGTTCTACAAACTTTATATTAAGGAAAATGTGCTTTTATTATTTCGTTTTTTTTCGTGTTTCATTTTGTACTGGCAACCTCAGAATAGCAATCGCCTGAAAGGCGAACACGGAACCTGATTGGATGAACAGCGTTACGTCGCGGTCACGTGACCAGAAATCAACTGTTATTTCAGCTGCTCGTCCGTCTGCACGCATGTAGCCTGCTGACCTGTCGCTGTGTCCGCGTTTAGTTTCATGTGAACCATGTCTTTTGTCAAAACGACTTTTAAACTGTTCGCGCTCGTCACGTTCACCGTCCTGCTCGTGCTGCTGCTGCGGCACTGGATGGCCACCAAGCAGTACGTTTTCAACAAAGAAGACGTCGCCAAGTTGGCTAAGCAGTACGCGGGTAAGTTTCACCGTGAAGCCTTTCGGTGTGGAATCACACACACCACGTCGTCGTGTGCTTTTGTTTTTGTTTAATCAACTCAGTTTAGTCAAAACAACCTTTAAAACTACAAATGGGCTCGTTCACAGGACAGGACCATGAGCAGGCGTTCTCCAAAGTGGTGGTGGAGCTCAGGAAGAGGTAACATGATTGTTTCATTATTTTTGTGAAAATGCATTTTTTTCCCCTGTAAATTTTGGTCTAAAATAAAACCATAAGACTGTCTATTATTATTATTATTATTATTATTATTATTATGTTATGTTCAACTTGGACTACCAAACCACAAATTGTGCAAAATCTGCTTGCTTCAGTGATTAATGTATGTATTTTTTTGACATTGCATTGAGTTTTTATTCAAACTGGATCTTTTAAGCCAACTTTTCTTTCAGTAATGAGATTGCAACAGTTAATAAAGTGTCCCTGAACCAGGTATCCCGGTCACATTCTGCCAGATGAGGACTTGCAGTGGGTCTTTATAAATGCCGGAGGCTGGATGGGCACCATGTGTCTGCTGCATGCCTCTCTCACAGAGTATGTGCTGCTGTTTGGCACTGCGGTGGACACAGGAGGACACTCGGGTAAGGGAGAAGGATTTCTACTTTTAGCTGTTTTGTGGATGATGCCTTTAAACMTGTCAAAACATTGAGTCGTGATGAAAACAAAACAGAAAACTTTAGTTTTTGATCCGTACTATAAAAGAAAAACAAATCGTATTTTGACATTGGCATGTTTGACGCTCGCATTTGTTCGTTAGCACTGATTTTATCRAACTTTGTAAAACTTTCTGTTTTTGCCAGGTCGTTATTGGGCGGAAATTTCCGACACCATCATCTCTGGCACTTTCCGGCAGTGGAAGGAGGGCACTACCAAGAGTGAAGTATACTATCCAGGTAATGAATGAACACATTTTAATCAGTGCTACTATCATTTAGACATATATACCTGAATGAATGAATAAAGTCAGAGCAAGATTTGCTAACAATCATTCTTGGATATCACTTGTATTTATCTTTGTGTTTTCCCTTGACCTAGGATATCCTTAGGATGAGATCTTGCTTTATTAAGATAACATAATAGTGTTTGTTAAACAATAAGGAGCAGAGAGCAGGGGCACAGTCTTATGGCTTTATGTTCTCTGTGTCCTCTGTTGTTGCTGTCGTCRCAAAAAGCAGAAACACGTTRGAATAATGCCAGAAAAGTCTGCGTGTATGATAATCRAWTATGATTTAATTATGAGCGACAAACAAACAGAACTGAATCAGGAAGGTTCTGCATGATTGTGACTGACTGTCAGCAGAATACAGCCAGTAATATAAYATTATGTTAAYACCATGTGACAGTTTACAACYAATCACAGATTGCCAWATATACTGTCCAGCCTATGACTGGGCTCCCAGACAAAGAGTCTGTTATCAAACAAGAGAGTTCAGTCCGTTGCGGAKTACTGACGTCCGGAAACAAACAGACTAGGAGCCGAAATGAGCTATCAGAAAGATACGAGTGATGCACAGTGTCAAGGTGAAACAGATATAAATAATTAGTCCATGACGTTGCAATAAAACTCAGCTGACCATTCATTGGAGTACCTTCATTCTTGGACCATGTATTTTTTTGTCTTTGTTAAATAAATATTTCCACAACACAGTTGTTTCCCACTTTTTGTTAAGTATATAATTCCACATGTATTAATTCATAGTTTTGATGCCTTCAGTGTGAATCTACAATTTTCATAGTCATGAAAATAAAACTTTTTGAATGAGAAGGTGTGTCCAAACTTTTGCTCTGYTCTGCATATTACTACAACTCTTGTGCCCACAGGTGACACTCTTGTTCATGGAGTGGGAGAAGCCACGTCCGTCCAGTGGAGCGCTGGGACCTGGATGGTGGAGTACGGCAGAGGCTTCATCCCGTCCACGCTTGGCTTTGCTCTAGCKGACACCCTGTTCAGCACCCATGACTTTGTCACGTTGTTTTACACCGTACGGGTGTACAYGAAAGCTCTGCTGCTCGAGGCCGGTACGCTACTCACAGACGCCGGAGTTTTCTGAGGGACAGCAGAGGACCGGCTGCTGGCACACGGACTGCGATATCCATATCCCCTTAACTAAAAGCTGGCATGAGGCCGGTGTGAGGGGTTCAACCTGTAATTTATGACAATCAGATTTGCTAATAGTTTCATTCTCATTCGTGTTTGTTTTCTACCATAAAGTAGAAAGAAACTTGTCCTGACATCAGAGGAACTCCACATATTCATCAACATTTAATTTAGACTCAAACACCAATCCATCACCCCTTTGTCCATTCTTATAAGAGCTCAGACTGCCTCTTTAATCACCCAAGTCTTAACTATGGGAAAAAAAGATCCATATGATTTTGGATCAAGCTTAAAAAATAAGGCCTTTTGCCAAATTTGAGATGACAAAATAACGGTATACTGTGTTCACCTAGGAACTAAAGAGTTAACATCTTTTCAGCAACATTTGCAAACAACCTTAATTGCTGAAATTAAAAAAATGTCAGTTTTATCACATATGAAACAAACCTCTAGGATGCACAAACACAATTTTTATTTTTATTTTTTTGTGTGTAATGCGTCTTGGGAAAAAAATGGTACATTTTCATTATTACTATTAGTAACTTTAAAGCTGCTCATTTCATCTATGGAAGCCGAAGTGATTGGAAATAGGTGAGCAATGTCCACTTTGTGGGTAAAGTCTGTCGAGCCTTTTAATTAAATCATGATTCTCCACTGCAGTTTTTTTTTTTTTTCAGCCTTTGACATTTTCAGCGCACATCACTTGCTGAGATTAGCCTTACCTATTTTCAGATAAGCTTGTGAATTAGGTGAGCAATGTCCACTTTGTGGGTAAAGTCTGTCGAGCCTTTTAATTAAATCATGATTCTCCACTGCAGTTTTTTTTTTTTTCAGCCTTTGACATTTTCAGCGCACATCACTTGCTGAGATTAGCCTTACCTATTTTCAGATAAGCTTGTGAATTATGTGCAAAACAGATACAAGTGAAAGTAATTCTAAGAAACTTGGAACAAAAATTGCCTCGCTTTGTGCAACTTAAGCTTACATTTTTTTTCTCCTCTGAAGTCCACCTAGGAATTACAAAAAAAAACACTACTTGTTCACACCTTCATGTTTTACAGTGAAGAAATAATTCAACTTTTAGAGAACCACAGAACATACTATACAATGTAATCCATTAGTTTACATACAGCAGTGTGTAAACGAATTGCTGTACTTTATGTGCAATTTACTGCATAAATGATGACACTGACAGTGCCAGAATAAATAAATGTTTTTGAAATAAAATGCCACTTTTTTATGTTTTCATGCTCTTTAATGGAAGCAAACCAAAACAAGCTGTTTGTGTTTAATCTGCAGTATGTGTAAGCAAGTATTGCAATCTCTGGTTCAGTTTGCTCAGCTCTTTTAAAAAAGTGATTCTGTCTTCTGATTGGCTGCTGGAAATGTGAAGTTTGCAAGTATTACAAATGCATCCTTCTAAATATATCCTCTAAACTAAATAAAAAGGCCTAGCAGTCATTAAAAGAATGTCATCTGCTGCTTTGTATCACAGAGATTGCCATTCAGAATGTCATGTTGAGAATTGTATAAACAATCTTTATAAGCTCTGGCTCCATGAGAAGTGCCTCTTCTGCCCTCTAGTGGACACATTCGGTATTGTTTTGGACTTGATGAAATAAGTGGACCACTTCGAGCACAGCCTGGATCTTCATCTTTTAAYTGCTACAACGTAATTACAGCATCATTTCTAGCTTTTTGGGGGAACAAGAAACGTGACAACATTCAAGCAACAGATAGGTTTCAATATATGACGTAATTGACTCCATAAGGGAGTTTGAACGCTCAATACGCGATGGAGCTCTCTTACCAATCGATGAAAATCGCTCACCAAGCTCGGGAAGCGGTGAGTACAGCCCGGGGATTCGTTTGTTGTGCTTTCAGACAGAACTGGTGGYGAGCTAACACCGGATGCTAACAAACTAGCATGGTGCTTAGTAGAAAGCTGGCCGTACTGCCTCTTATGATCAAACTAATCTCTAATTACAAGCAGCGCTATATGGTTCAAGTTGAATTATTTTGCAAGAAGTGATTTATTTTACACATAGAGCAAGTTGTGAACTGTTAACGCCCATTTATTTAGCTTATTCTGTTAGCTTTAATTGCTATTTGTTGGCGTCCACTGGTTGCCAAGATACGCAGGATGTGTATTCAGTTTGTGGTACTTTGTCTCCCTCTTGTGGCGACCTTTGTCTCTACACTACTTCGACATACCTTCTTGTATTGGATTTCTTTTTCAGTATAAACAGAAGAAACCTTTGCATTTCTAAAACGCTTTTGACTTTATGCAAGCAGACATTTAGATTTATTAAAACACAAGTGCAACCATAAAAATCTCTGTTTTGTTGTGAATGTCGAGTGCTCAATTTGTTTTGAAGATGCTGAAATTGAATTGTCAAAGTTAAAACAAGCTAAACAGTATGGAAAAACTAAAATTAGCAAACCAAAAGCCTGGAATTGAAACGAACTGAAACTTGTAAATACCATTCATTTTAGTGTAACAAAAAGTTAAAGCTAAATATTTTTAAAAGGTATAAAAAAAATACTAAAAGCCACAGCACCAGTCTCCTTAATGACCCAACTTTGTGATACCRGAAAGCTTAAACTTGCTTAAGTAAATACTAGCTACTGAAAAACATGGACGAAACTCTAAACATGAAAGCATTAGCGTGAGTGCTGAATCAGCAGTCTTGTTGATTAAAGCCACTCAAAGTTTACTGCATTTACTTTCAGGATCCTAATTACACGCTGAAGTTTGGACTCACATMGATTAAAATAAATGAATCTAACAGTTTCAACTCTCTTCTCTTTTTTTTTAGCTTTCACAAATTGAAGATAGGATGCTAGAATTTTAGTAAAAACACAGATTTTCACAAAAAAAAGTTCTATTAAGCCTGGGTTCTGTTTTGAACATACCCTTTGTGGCGTTTTTTTACTCATAKACTGTATGTCAGAACTTCCTGTTTTCTGGATTGTGGTTCCACAGGAGGAGCTGAGAACTGAGAAGAGAAAGAAGAACCTTCTTGTTCTGATCTACCACCACTTATTGGGACAGGGGTCAGTTAACATCCATTTTTATTGATTTAATCCACTGAAACTCATAGTAATAAACAGCAATTATCATGTATTTATAATTCTAGTTTATATTATACACGTAGTATTAAACCTAAAGTGGTCACAGATGTATTTTTACACAACGACATTTACAAAATATACATTAAACTGTAACACAGCAGCCGTTGTTGACCAATGTTTGACTTTGTAGCTTTATARTGTGTTCATTTGTGTTTGTCCACCAGCTACTTGGCAGCAGCCGTGGCCTTGGACCAGGAGACAAATGGTGCTGTGAAGAAGTTCGAGGTTTGTGATAACATCGATCTGGAGATGATGCTGATAGAGTATGAGAGTTACCACTACGTCAAGTTCCAGAAATATCCCAAACTTGTCAGGAGGGCAGCAGAACCAGGCACAGAAACACTCTGCAACCATTCCTCATTAGATCAATAACAACCCAAATTTTCAATCTTGGTCACTTTTTACTTCTTTTTTTTATTCTATATAGATGAAAACAAGCCAATAAAGAATAGTGGAATCAAGAAGTGAGTCACTCCTTACTTTATAGTCTTTTTTTAAATTTTAACAGAGTTCRCACATGCTCAAAAACTGAGCCTCTTTATGTATTTTTGTCATCAGACGTTCCTGCTCAGCTGTGAAACCTCTTCCCAAAATTGTCTCCCCCTCCGTTCCCAAGTCTGGAAATGCAGCCAAGAGAACAGCTCCCAGTGTATATGTAAGAGTGTAAAACCTTTAACACAAATCAGATGAGCTCCCTAAAATATAAAAGCTTTTATTCTGACTGTCATTTCTCAGGAAAATGTTGTCTCTGTGGTGCCGGAGTCATCAGGGTTTGGGCTCAACATTTCCTCCATCAAAAATGGGCCAGCTGGGGATTCAGCCATGGGCAGGAAGGTAATAGGAATGCTTTTATTTTTATTAGAAAAATACAAATCAACTCTCACTCTTTCATCCAAGTTAAAATTTAGATTTTGACAAAATARTGTCCGTTCGTTTTTCATAATGCTTTTAAAATCAATCATGTCAAATTGGGAGAGTGTGCATTTTAAATCTGAGAGCAGGAATTCTTATTCTTACAACACACAAAAAAAATCACTTTTAAAATCAATCTTCTTTGGCAGAACTAATAATGCTAATAATGCAGTCAAAATCTTCTTAAAAATTATATTTTTTTCCTGCTTTTTGAGACATAAACACTAAAGCTTAATCTGCAAAAGTCTTTTGTCTTTTTTATTTATTTTTTGGTCCAGATGAGTGACGGCAAAGCAACAATACATGATGCTGTCAGAGGATCAGGCTTTCACTCWGACCACATGGTAAAAAAGTACTGTTAATGCCAAAGTTTTRAACAAAAACTTGTGATCTGTTAGTGCTCACAGTTGTGTTGTGCATGCCTCTCACCTACGACAACTGCAATATTTAATCTATATTTGTAAAACTGACTGAGGTATAGACAATTTTGTGTTTGTTAAGGTCGATTAGCTTTGGCGTCCATCTTGCATCAAGTCAACTCCATAAGTTAATCAGTCGGACATCAAATTTCCTACACACCTGCMCAGTGGTTTGTTAGATATTTTGCTAACAGACACTTCCACAGACAGAGGCGATTAACACGATCACCTGCCTTTCATGGCGATGGGCAACGCCTACCCTGAAACTTTAAAACAACACAAAAACAATACGATTTTCACAAGTAACAACTACTGTTTTATAACATTGTAACATTGTTTATTCTGAAGCGACAGTGTTTGTGTTACCAACAGTGTTTCTGTGCCGCAGGAACGGCTGCTGAAGCCCCTCAGTGGCTTTTCTGGGATGAGTGGTGAATTGAAGGAACTGGCTKCARTCATCAGTCGGGTACTACACACACKATATAATTATCAGGGTCCTTGAAATCTTTGAAAGTTTGTGAATTTGAAAAAAWKATTTCAAGGCCCTGGAAAGTTTGTGAAAACAGCCAAAAATTACACTTGTCCTTGAAAGTCCTTGAATGTTTTTTGAGGATTGAAGTTCTCCTATTCACACAACTGATTTTTATCATCTGTAAAAAAATATATAAAAAAACCTTACATTTGTTGCGATGTATAACTCAGGATTACAGTAAACTGACGTGGCTTTCAACAAATAATCCCACACGGTCATAGTTTTACATGGTATACATTTAATCCACTTTCTTTCATTAATTCTGACTCAACAACTTCTATGTTGTTCAGTTTTTCATTGAATTTGCATATTAAACCTGYTTATTGGYAACATTCTGTGGTAGCAGTAGGTAATTGGCGCCGCGCGTGCTTCTTGAATTTGAAGAAATTGGTACTGGAAAGTCCTTGAAAGGTCCTTGAATTTGATATTGACCAAGGTGTGGGACCCCTGAATTATAAAATACACACASAGACATCAAGAAACATAAAATTGAAGCTTGAAACAGACGTTTATCTGAACTTGCCCCACAATGAAATCTGTGATCTGTAGGATTTTTATATAGAAACATCTAATCTTGACTTTGTCCACTAGAGAGCAATAAAGAGCTTTAAAATATAAAATGATGCTTCATATTAATGAAGGCCCAGGCTCTATCGATTTTACTTAAATGATGTTTCATTCTAAAGGACAACTATTTATGCCAGCCCAGTGTCACCCACCCTTTGTGTTTGTGTGTGTCCACCCCTAAAGGACATCTATTTGCACAGCCCGAATGTGCGCTGGGAGGACATCATCGGTCTGGAGGACGCCAAGCGATTAGTCAAAGAGGCCGTCRTTTGTCCCATTAAGGTGAGGCGGGCACACGAGGCGCGCTGGTATTTCAGCGTCAGCCGTCGCTCTTCGATTCTGAATACATCTCCTTTAAAGGCTTAAAGAGAAGATGGGCGGCGGGGTCAGGTCGCTCTATTAGGCTGACGTGAAATCCATATCTGGGATCTCGTGGCAACRCGCATACACAGATGGATAGGCAGGGGAATTTACACAACCGCCCTCACACAATTTTGCAACTGCAAACAGATATCAAACCCAAACACACACACTTTTTTATCATCATCATCATCATCATCCAGACCTTTCTCGTGACAAGAAATCAGGTTGTCTGCATCCTCTTGACATTTCCAGACGGAGATGAGGACTGATGTGTCCATTTTCTTACATATATTCTGCTGGCCTGCTTTATTGAATAACACCGCCCTTCCACCTTTCAGCTCCATTATTATTCATTCTCCAGCTTATAAGGTCAGCAGGAAGATTTGAGTCAGCTTCGCCTTTTTCGCCACCTAAAATCCAGACTAATTCGTGCTTTGTGGTATTGGGAGAACTGAATCAGCTTTTCATCTGGCTGATCAGTCTTGTTTGCAGACAGCTCTGCTTTTGATCGGTCTCTTTTAGTTAGAAAATATATTAAAATATAATGTGATTTACTGTAGAGTCGATGCTGTATTATTCATATCTGTCTGACTGCCTGGCCTCATTATTTCCCCTTTCTCCAGTATCCTTGGTTGTTCACAGGAGTCTTATCACCGTGGAAGGGCTTGCTGCTCTATGGCCCCCCAGGTAAAGTTTTTACTAAAGGGGACATGTACAGGTGCTGGTCATAAAATTAGAATATCATGAAAAAGTAGATTTATTTCAGTAATTCCATTTAAAAAGTGAAACTTGTATATTATATTCATACATTACATACAAACTCATATATTTCAAATGTTTATTTCGTTTAATTTTGATGATTACAAATGACAACAAATGAAAATCTCAAATTCAGCATATCAGAAAATTAGAATCTTGTGAAAAGGTTCAAAATGGATGGCACCTGGTACCACACTCTAATCAGCTAATTAACTCAAACCACCTGCAAAGGCCTTTAAATGGTCTTTCAGTCTAGTTCTATAGGCTACACAATCATGGGGAAGACTGCTGACTTGACAGTTGTCGAAAGACGACCATCGACACCTTACACAAGGAGGGCAAGACACAAAAGGTCATCGCTAAAGAGGCTGGCTGTTCACAGAGCTCTGTGTCCAAGCACATTAATAGAGAGGCGAAGGGAAGGAAAAGATGTGGTCGAAAAAAATGTACAAGCAAGAGAGATAACCGCACCCTGGAGAGGATTGTGAAACAAAACCCATTCAAAAATGTGGGGGAGATTCACAAAGAGTGGACTGCAGCTGGAGTGAGTGCTTCAAGAACCACCACACACAGACGTATGAAAGACATGGGTTTCTGCTGTCGCATTCCTTGTGTCAAGCCACTCTTGGACCACAGACAGCGTCAGAAGCGTCTTGCCTGGGCTACAGAGAWACAGGACTGGACTGCTGGTGAGTGGTCCAAAGTCATGTTCTCTGATGAAAGTAAATTTTGCATTTCCTTTGGAAATCAAGGTCCCAGAGTCTGGAGGAAAAGAAGAGAGGCACTTCATCCACGTTGCTTGAAGTCCAGTGTAAAGTTTCCACAGTCAGTGATGGTTTGGGGTGCCATGTCATCTGCTGGTGTTGGTCCATTGTGTTTTCTGAGGTCCAGGGTCAACGCAGCCACATACCAGGAAGTTTTAGAGCACTTCATGCTTCCTGCTGCTGACCAACTTTTTGGAGATGCAGATTTCATTTTCCAACAGGACTTGGCACCTGCACACAGTGCCAAAGCTACCAGTACCTGGTTGAAGGACCATGGTATCCCTGTTCTTAATTGGCCAGCAAACTCTCCTGACCTTAACCCCATAGAAAATCTATGGGGTATTGTGAAGAAGAAGATGCAATACACCAGACCCAACAATTCAGAAGAGCTAAAAGCCACTATTAGAGCACCCTGGGCTATCATAACACCTGAGCAGTGCCACAGACTGATCGACTCCATGCCACGCCGCATTGCTGCAGTAATACAGGCCAAAGGAGCCCCAACTAAATACTGAGTGCTGTACATGCTCATACTTTTCATGTTCATACTTTTCAGTTGGCCAACATTTCTATAAATCCTTTGTTTTTATTGGTGTTCAGTAATATTCTAATTTTCTGATATGCTGAATTTGAGATTTTCATTTGTTGTCATTTGTAATCATCAAAATTAAACGAAATAAACATTTGAAATATATGAGTTTGTATGTAATGTATGAATATAATATACAAGTTTCACTTTTTAAATGGAATTACTGAAATAAATCTACTTTTTCATGATATTCTAATTTTATGACCAGCACCTGTATACAAAGTCCACTTTTTTAGCTGTTAAATAGATTTTTTGTGTACTTAAAGCCTCTAGGAGTACAGAAAAGTTGATTTTAGTCTCTCCTGGTTCTGCAAAGATATATTTATATTCTATTTGGGTCATATGTTTCAGCATGTGCAGTTTTATCTAATTTCTATGACATTTTCCGAGTCTATTCTTTCAAATTATCTGTGATGAAATTGCCAAATAAGGTCTGGACTTACCTCCTCGTCTTAATTCTCCTCTAATTCTGGCTCCAACATGTAATGGTTGAAGGTCAAGTCTTCTGTTGTGGACATCTTTTACTTAAATTGTAAATAAAATGTTTCCTGCAAGTTAGAAAACATAACTCCCCCTCTCTCAAACCGGAGTGGACCGGTCTAGAAGCCGGAGGGGGTGGCGAGGCTTGAAGCGTCTTAAAGGAACAGTAAACAAATCCAGTTGTTTTGAGACATACAGTACACCACAAAGTGGTGAAAGAGGGGCCGGTTAAGTTTCAATATGGAGGAAATCAGACCAAAGCATTGTAGTTCCACTTTGAAAAGACCCCAAATTAATGATTTAAATGTGAAAAGGAAGGATTTAAAAGCATGATATGCCTACTTTAAGTGATTTAGTTCAATATAGAAGTAAAACATGTCAGATTTTTTAGGGGAAATTCATGTCTTACTCCCACAAAGGCACAGGGAAAACGCTGCTCGCCAAAGCCGTGGCAACCGAATGCAAGACGACCTTCTTCAACATTTCCGCCTCCAGCATCGTCAGCAAGTGGAGAGGAGACTCCGAGAAACTGGTCAGGGTAGGTGATTGCTCAAAAAAAAACAAAAAAAACGAATGAAACAGAACCCGCGCCGAGTTTTACACACACCACGCACGCCTGCAGGTTCTGTTTGAGCTGGCTAGGTACCACGCCCCCTCCACCATCTTCCTGGATGAGCTGGAGTCGGTGATGGGACAGAGGGGAACCAGTTTGGGGTGAGCTGAATTGAGTGCCTCGTGGATGCAAAAGTGAATAAAAACAAAACAAAAAAAGCACTGAAAGATAAATCTGTTTTTTTTAGGGGTGAGCACGAGGGGAGCCGGAGAATGAAGACTGAGCTGCTGGTTCAAATGGATGGCCTTGCGAAATCTGAAGACCTAGTGTTTGTCCTTGCAGCCTCCAACTTGCCTTGGTACTGTGCAGTGTTGTATAAAGTACCACAAAGTGATATTTGAGTAAAAGTGCAAGTATCTTACCAAAAAATTACTTTGGTAAAAGTTAAAGACTCCTTTCGGAATATTACTTGAGTAAAAGTCTTAAAGTATCTGGTATTTTTTGTACCTAAGTATTAAAAGTAAAAGCATTGATTTAAAATGAGCAGTTAGATTTTCTATAATAACATTTATTAGGTGAACCCCCCTCTCCAAAAAAAAAACGCAGAAATGACTGTTGCATTAAAAATAATTAATTGATGTTAAATTTAGGATGTACTAGTCCAGCTGTTTCAGTTTATATACACATATCAAGGCTGCCCAAAGATTTTCTCCAAAATGAAAATCTATCTGAGGGCTGCGGCCAAATACAATAATTCATGAAATACAAATACTTCTTAAGTACAGACCTTTWATTTTAATAAATGATTATGTCCTGCTGGAGTGTGACATGATTTATTTGTGTACAAACTAATACGATATCAGAATTTTGTATATTTATACTTCTCATTAAACCACAGTTAAATTCACTCTATCTAGGAGGAACAATTTATATTTATTTTTTACAATAACAAGCTGGAATAAAAACAAGCGAAATGAAATAAAAGTATCAACTTTCTACTTTTTGCCTTTTTAAAAACTTTAAGGAGTAGAAAGTACAGATTATTGTGTGAATATGTAAGAAGTAGAAGTAAAAAGTAGGCTGAAAAATAATTACTCAAGTACAAATACCCAAAAATTCTACTTAAGTACAGTAAAGTATTTGTACTTAGTTACTTTACAACTCTGTTATCTGTATTTTATATCAAAACAATATCATTGAAGCATCTTAAATGTACTTAACCTGAATTTTTATTTCAGTTGAAATAAGTTCTTTACATCTTCAGGAAAATGATACTTGCTACAATATATACAATTTCCTTTCCTTTATTCAAATACTATAAGTGTGTGTGTGTTAAAGGCAAGGTAATTTCTGCCTTTAAATCCTAACTAATGTTTGTCATTCAGGGAGCTGGACCACGCCATGCTGCGGAGATTAGAGAAGAGGATTTTGGTGAACCTTCCCTCACCAGCTGCCCGCCAAGCCATGATGTCTCATTGGCTGCCTCCTCTCAGCAACATAGGAGAGCTGGAGCTACGAACTGAGCTGGACTATGAAACACTAGCCGAGGTTTGTGACAGCGCTGCAGACAAATGAAGTCTTCACGCTCGTGTTTTCTGGTAATTTGAGGCGTTCGTGTGTTATAGAGGATGGAGGGATATTCTGGTTCTGACATCAGATTGGTGTGTAAGGAGGCTGCCATGAAACGTGTTCGTAAACTAATTAAAGCCCTGGAGTCGCATCAGAACAGTAAGACTACACACGCTGTGCAGATAAGAGATCCGGTCCGACACTTCAGGCCTCACTGTGGTTCTTGTTTAAAGCAGACGCTGACGGGCCTGTGATCCAGCTGGGAACTGTAACGACGGCTGATTTCACGGAGGCKATTTCACGCACCAAACCCTCAGCCAGAAACCTGATGGACAGATACACAGCCTGGGACAGAGAATACGAGTCCGTCTGATGCCAGTGCTTCCACTTCTAGTGAACTAATAAAAATTATATTGTCAAAATGTGCCCACTCCTGAGTTTCTGAATAAAACAGGGGTGYAGTGTTTTGCTAACTGCAGTTTTAAAGAAGATTCTGCAGGATGTGTTCGACGGCATCTGGGAAACTGCTGCACGTCAGGTGAGGAGGTGGCTCGATTTTATTTTCATCTCCCTCTCTGTATTTACCTGCAGACAAAAAGGATGTACTCTAATCGTTCACAGAAACAGAAATACACCAGAAAAACTATTTCTATGATTGTCAAAATCTTAAAAAAAAAAAAAAGATGATTTCAGTTTGCATGGAGATGAAACAGAAGAGAGGTGACATGAAGACTGGAGGATTGAACTTACCTGTTCGGACCAAAATACCCAGCATCCCTGCTTTCTGAGCTCCACCTACATCATCTCTGGCATCCTGCGAGGAGAAAACCACCAACCTTAAAGGGGACATATCCTGCAAAATCCACTTTTTTAGCTGTTAAATACATTTTGTTGTCTTTAGGAGTGCAGAAAAGTTTAATTTATTCTCTCCTGGTGCTGCAAAGATGTCTTTATATTGTTTTTATTTTCTCTATTTTGTATGACGTTTTCTAAAATATTACATCAAATTACCTGTGACGAACTTGACAAATAAGGTCTGGACTTAACTACAGTTTCYTGGTCTTAATTCTTCTCTGGTTCTGGATCAGACTCTGGCTCCAACAWGTAAGGATGGACAGCTTTTAATTAATTTGTAAATAAAACGTCTCTGCACTGCTAGGACACATAACCCCCCCTTCTCTCTCTGTCAAACCGGAGTGGACCGATCTGGAAGCAGTAGKGGGGCGTGGCCTGAAGCATCATATAGGCACAGTATCAAATCCAGCTGCTTTGAGGCACACATCAGAAAAGTGGAAGAGTGGCTGGTAAAGTTTAAACAAGGAGGAATTCAAAGCATTGTGGTTSCACTTTTAAAAGCACATGTCTACTTTAAATACAGTATTAAGACTGCTTATCGTCAAAAGCTCCTAAAAAGAGTTATTACTTTACTGTGTGAATGTGAAAAAGACCAGCATTAAAGTAACTTCAACAAAAAATACATTTTAAAACTAAAGGCATTGCATTTTTTGAGGAACTGCATACCTTCCCCTACTTTTCATGTCAGAAATTTAAACTWAAAGTAAACAGAGTTAAAGCTGCTTTGGCCAAATTGTTAAAGGGATGAAGTTTTGTGAGATCTCACAAGATGTGTTGGAGATGTAGATGAATAAAAACGATTTTTCGGGGKTTTTACTACATCCAGTGGGTTATGTTATAACACAGTGTTGATTTTAACAGTTAATGGCAAGGTTTTAAGCAAAAATATCACAAAATACACTGCATGGTCAAAAAAAGGGGCCACCAAAAAAAAAAAGTCACACACTCTTATATTTTGTTGGGCTGCCTTTAGCTTTGATTACGTCACACTTTTGCTGTGGCGTTGTTTCAATAAGCTTCTGCAATGTCACACGATTTACTTCAGTCCAGTGTTACTTTCATTTTTCAGCAAGATCTCTCCCATTGATGATGGTAGAGTCTGACCTGGCATTGTCATCCTGGAATATGGCCATGCCATCGAGGAAGAAACAATCCACTGATGGAATAAGTAAGTAAGTAAGGAAACTTTATTTCTATAGCGCTTTTCACAGACCAGGGTCACAAAGTGCTGCACAAGTGTAAAAGAAATAAATAAATTAAAAGCAACAWACAAAACAATAAAACACAGTATTACGCTAAAAAGCAAGTTTAAAAAAGTGGGTCTTAAGTTGTTTCCTAAAAGGATCTATACAATCCAGAGATCGAATGGTGCAAGGTAGCTCATTCCAGAGGCGAGGCGCCACAGCTTTAAAAGATCTGTCTCCTCGAGTCTTAAAATGGGTCCGAGGAACCATCAACAAGTTCAGATTCGACGACCTGAGGCTCCTAGTCGAAACATAAGGCTGGATGAGGTTCTTAATATAGTCTGGCGCTTGTCTATGAAGGGCTCTAAAAGTCAGTACCAGGATTTTGTAGTGCATCCTGTAAGATACAGGCAGCCAGTGCAAGCTTTTGAGGATGGGTGTAATATGTTCCCTCCTGTGGGTGCAAGTGAGCAGGCGTGCAGCAGAGTTTTGTACTACCTGCAGACGCGCAAACTCCTTCTTATTAAGACATGTGAACAGACTGTTACAATAATCCAATCTCGATGAGACAAAAGCATGAACAATCATCTCAAGCTCACCATAAGTCACCATCTTACGAAGTTTAGAAATGTTCCGAATTTGGAAAAAACAATTCCTAACAATCTGGTTTATGTGCCGCTCCATAGACATCGCTCCATCCATGAAGACACCTAAGTTGCGCAGGTTGCTTTTAACTGTGCAGCTCAAGTTTCCGAGGTGCTGCTTAATTCCAGGCACAGCACTGTCAGGAGCAACAATCAAGGTCTCGGTCTTACTGGAGTTCAATAATAGGCTGTTTTCAGTGAGCCATTTTGTCACTTCGGTCAAGCAACTAGTGAGAGTGCAAAGTTTATGTGGCTCACTTGGCTTGAAAGAGCAGTACAGTTGCAGATCATCGGCGTACAGATGATAGGACACATCACTGAACTTCTGGATGACCCTGCTCAGAGGAAATAGGTACAGCAGGAACAGGACAGGTCCCAAGACCGATCCCTGCGGCACACCCCACAAAAGCTCTGCAGAATCAGACACTGCATTTCCCACTGACACACTAAAAGTTCTGCCAACCAGGTAAGAGGTGAACCATTTAATAACCTGGTCATTTAGTATATTCAGGTAGACAGATGACCTCATAGACCCGACCAACTGCAGCAACCCCACATCATAGTTCAATCCAGGTGGAGACTTTTTTTTTCTTTTGGCCAGTCAGTGTATAGTGCTTAGAATGTGTGTTGAGGATGGCTGTCAGCTACTACCACAACAAATGTGAGCTGAATATCTGCAAATTTGACTGAGTAGTAGTCATGTTTGTGGCTAATGTCAATTAGGTGGTTTGCTATTACTTAAGAAATACTCACATCTCCTATCATGACAGCCTCACTGGGGCTACAGCCTAAATCAGCCAATGCCTAAAAGTGAAAACCCAACAGAAAAATTAAGATTAGAATAACTGTAATAAAAATCATTTAAATCAATACAAAAATAAGGACTCTTCACCTGAGTAAAAAACGTCTTTTCAGGCTTCCCCACTACAGTCGCTTTACAGTCTGAGGCGTACTCTAGTCCTGTTACGAAGGGCCCGGGGCCAAGGGCCAAACCATCCTTACGTTTATAATAGCGAGCCTTATGAATGGCAATAAGAGGAGCTCCATCCAGAATCATTCTAAGGAAAACCACAATCTGAACATTAACCCCACTTTTCAATATTATTCCATGGTTAAACATAGTATTAGATCATTTAGATACAAAAGGTGGCAAAAACAATAAATTAAGTTCAGCTATTTTTTTATTAGCAAAGACTTTGAAAAGTGTTCTACCTGAAAGCCTTGTTGAGCGTTTGATAATTAAAGTGATCCGGTGCGAGCCCAATAACAACAGCGTTCGGTTCTGACGTGTCAATACCTGCAATAAAAATAAATAAATAAATGTTTGGAAATTTGAAACAGCCCAAAATTTACAACGTGGAGCAAAAACAAGGTTCAAAAAAGAAAACTAAAAAAWTTACCGGTGAAGTCTTCCAGTGCACTGTCCTCCAGCAGCAGCAGTGGTCGGTGTTGTTTCTGCTCTATCAAACTTCTGGCTGCACTCAGAGAGGTGAAGATCTCTTTTTCCTGTACATTCATTAAAAAAATGCAAAATCCAGGTAAACCTTTAATTCTTTAATAAACGGTTTGAAAATTAAAAGAAAAAAAAAAGCTACATTAATGTAAATGTTTCCTGATGTTAATATACTTTAAACACTTCCACCTTAAAGATATAAAGAACCAGTCAGTCCTGGGTGTTTCACCTGAAGATCAAAGTTGAGACGCTGCAGTCGTTCCAGAAGGTTCCTCTTACTCTCTTTGGTCGTGTTGGTCACAAACTTCACAGCTACAGAGGCCTGTCGTAACCTGATGACGTCAGAACACAGAGTTACAGCACATTTTGAAAAAAATGATACCTGTATGAATTTAGGAATTTAAAAATATGCTCAAAGCAGCATTCATTGCAGTTATGGGCATTTTATTTTTACAATGATAACCATACAGATATTGATATTCAGACAGCTGGCCCTCCACTTCTGTCACATATTTGCAGGCTGTATCTCACCTGTTGAGGGCATCCTGTGCCCCRGGCACTGCTGTATCTTCTATATGTAGAGTCCCACTGAGGTCAATGAGCACAGCCTTCAGGGCCCGTCTGCCTGCCATGCCGGTGGCCTGTGAAGGACAACACATCTGAGACAAAGTCCCTGCATTTGGTTAAAAACAAACATCAGAAAAGGAGAAATTGTCTATCATAATATTCTGAAGCTCAAAGTAGTACCATCAAATACATGAGTTTGTCTTTTTTTTACTTAGTAAAACTTTTGCTGTAATTATTTTGTTTTACATTTAACTGAGTGATTATTTAAAAACAAAAAAGGAAAACCAAGTAATATAAAAACATATATGTTTTAAGTTTAGATAACAGATAAGAGTAGCTTGGACTGCGGCCTCTGTGGATTTGCTGCTTTAAATGGAGCTTTATTCTGTTTCAAAAAGCTTATTCTTCCAAAATAATTTATCTTCGCAGAGATCAAACRTTCATAATCATAATTCACAACAGTAATGGGAGAATTTACCAGATTATTGTGTTGATCAAACCTACATAGGGACCATCTGAGAGGATTATTGAACAGTTTCATGTGTGGACTCCAGCCTAGAATACAGATTTGTGGATCAGCTTTTATTGGATGCTGATTTCGGCCAGAGATCCCCTATTATTTAGACATGCACTTGGATTTCTAACATGTAGGTATCAATTGGTGGATACATTTAATGCTCTTAGGACACGCATGCAAAGCCAGTAGAAAGTAGCCTATGCAGGCTCTTGTTATTATATTAAAATAGGACTCAGAATATTCACAGAACCTATTTGCGCAGCAACTCGGTTTGTGATTAGCAGCTTGTACTGAGTTATATTATTACAACTGTGGTTGATATGTTCATTTTAATTCATAAACTGAAAATAATTGCACAAATGTAGACACTAAAAAGTGCACACACGGCTAACCTTAGCAGCAGCTGATTTCTCCCACTTCCTGTTGATGGTTCTTCTTCGTTGGTTTTTGTCACATRATCGGTGCTGCCCCCTACAGCTTGAATGTATGTAATTGTTTAATGACACATTTTATTACACCCATTTTAATGTTGTTGGTTTTTTTTTTTTAAATCAGACTTATAACCATAATCATTTAAGAGGGTTACTGTTAACCACTTAATCATATACTGAAATAATAAAAAAACATATGTGTTTTCATCACACTAACAACCAACAGATGTGTTGCATTAGAAGGATTTTTGGATTTATCATGAAAGGATGTATTATCACATTGATAAATAAATCTTTTATCAGCATGAACCAGACAACATGGATCAAATCCTCTTTCTGTTTTTCGTTCAGATAGTGAATAACAGTTTGCGTAAAACACTGTTCGGATGATAGATTTTTGAAAAATATAGTAGCTCCATTGAGGAAATACGTGTAAAAYACACTTTTATTGTAAGTTATTTTCAGATTTAATAAATCACCATCTTTGTTTTTGATTGTGGTGGTTTTAGATAGAAAAAAAAAACATTTTTTATTTCAAAATCCAATCAAAATTTTACAATGTGCTTTGTGACCATTATTAAACTGAAATCCATGCTTCAACAGATTTCAGCTTAACCAACAAGCACTCAACATTGAACCTACTTACAGAAAATACCTTTTTTTTTTAGATTTCCATTTGCAGGAAAACAGTTTTTGGCCATGTTTCCATTTGTTCTATTGAAAATGTATATAATGTTCTTTCTTATCATTTTTAGCTTTATTTATCTTCAAAGTGTGGATTCCGTTTGGTTTGTATATGACACTGCTACACTGAAGAAATGTACCATTATTTTTTTAAATAACCTTTGTTAAACAAAAATCTGTCAACATTTTTACGAGTTGAAACAGAACTCATAAATTATTATTACAAGGCCAGAGATATGTGAATACGCAGACACTCTCCTGTTGACGTGATCGCTTTTACATTTTTCTGTTTGCCTCCACACCTAAAACCAGACTAATCATGTATCAAAATGGCTTGTTTCCAAATCTCCCTGTTAAACATATGCTTTTAATTCCAGTAGAGCCTCTTTCCTCAAATCCCTTATTTTTAGGGTCAAAACTAATGTGAATAAACATGGTTGTGGAACAACAGGGAAGAGGATGGTGATAATTCACAACATATTGGGATTATTATTAAAGCAGAGAACGGAGAAATGGACCAACATGAAACATATGGAAGGGATACATATTCATGGAAAGGTGAGAATGGGCTTTTTTAAATGATTATGTAATGGTTATGTTTAAAGATGTCATAAAGTTATTTAATAACAAACCTAAGAAACAAATTCATGAAATTATATTTTGCATTTAAGTCAGAACAACAGCACAACTCAATGTCTGAAGCATTGAGGTAGTATAAACTTTTAAACTACATTTGTCTGAGTTGTATTTGAAAATATGTGTTTTTTTTCCTTACAGTCGCAAATAAACATCACAACATTTTACACACTGAATGAAGAAAACAGCCCTGACGAGGTCTGGAGCATTCCTGTTATAAATACAGTGCTAATCAACTGTTAATCAACAATACAGATGGAATTAAAAAAAACAATAAATTAAAATAAATTCCTATTGGTTTCTTTATCTGTATGTACAAACATATTGCCAAAATCATATGATTCTAATATAATTTWTTGATGGAAAGTCCAAACATCATGGACTTTTAAGCACCTTTTTATCAACATATGGCACAAGTCTGTCCATCATCCAAACAGGCTCCTGTCATTTTAACCTGAAGCTTGTTATAAACCTAATCTGTGCAGCACAGAGACAGAATTGTCACCGTGTGTTATGACTTTAAGAAAGATAATCTTTTTTTCCATTTTTTTTTTGGACAAAGAGAAGAAATTTCCTCAAGACATGTGTAGACTAACAACAAAATGCTTCTTCTGTTTGCATCTGCAAATATTTTTTTTTTCTGTTTTCTGGTCTTCCTGTTGAAAAATCCTAACTCCCATATTGACTTGCAAAAAACAGAAGTCCTAAATGACAAATTGTTTAATGTGTGATGGCATAGGTTTGTGGGTTTCAGTGGTTCTTTGTCAGGTGTTTAATCCTCTAGTATCCACAGCTGGTGGTCAACCGAAGAGCAACAACAGGATGATGGATGCAGAGTTGACGATTATTAAAGGCACTGTAAAAACACAAAATGACAATTTCAAAAAAATAATTAACATTTACACATATAACTTCATAGAATCTATATATATTTATTTGATAAGCAATGGTTCTTCGGACCTCTCATGACAGTCCGAACTGAGCGGATGAGATTCAGGATCTGAGCTTTGACTCCTGGATCATCTCCAAAACCTCCAACTCCTTGATCTACACCCCAGCCGACTGGAAACAGACAGTGGTACAGACTGTTATAACATCCGATTACACTGTTATCTTTGAATAATAACAGAATTTATCTTTAGTAAAATGACATACTTGCATACTTAATACAAAMGTTATCTGGATTACAGGAACAATGATGTTTGAAATATAGGAAACATGACAAAATACATAAATAGCCTTCTTCAAAGCTGAAATATTTATTTTCATGAGGAAGTATCAGTATGTTATTTGTCCATAATGCATGGAAAAATATTTGAAGTTTTTGTCTAACTATTATATGATACATCAGCTTGCCACACAGAGAAAGGGATGGACAGAACGGTTGCAAATGTTTATGAGATTGAAAAAAAATGTGATAGTATACTTGTATAAATATTGGTATAGCTGTTTCTAAATCTCAGTTTATCCAGTCAGAAAGACAAGCAGAGCTTCACTCTCTTGCTTAGCTCTTGTTAGCATGCAAAACTGCTTTACTTTACAAATAATAACAAATAAATAAACTACTAGTGGCAGAACACTTACTTTTTCTGAGAAACCTCTCCTCATGAAGCACAGCGATAGCATTAGTACAAAGWATAGCTGTCTGGATAAGCGTATACAGTGTAAACGCCATGCTGGCAACTAAACTGCCCTCCTCCTCCCTCGTTGACCACGCCCCGAAGCACGGCGGCCGTAAACCGACACCGTGTGTCGTGAAATCGAATTGTTCAATTTGCTTGTACTTTTGGCGAAGCCTATTAGCTAAATGTGGTCAAAAGACGTATTAGTCAAACAAAATACGTACACTCACAGCAGTATAGCACATCATCACGTCACAATATTGCACACATGAAAAAAACAACAACTTTTGAACAAGTTGTATGAAATAAATAAATAAATAAATAAATAAATAAATACATTTTTTTTACCATTTAACTTACAAAATATCCCCAATAAATAAACCACACTGTTATTTTTATATAGACTTTTAATTTGCACATAAATAGTAGAGAAACTACGAGAACATTTTGAAATACATCTGCAGTAATAGAATGGTAACATTTTATCAGTAGATGGCAACTTCATCCATCTAATAAATAAACAAGTGAGTGAAATATTTTTTGACATACACCTAAATGCACCATCCTCGTCATTATTATCACTGTGTCACTTTTTTTTCTTTAAATGTTATAATAAATAGCATTTTCACAATTAGGGAGTCAGGATTTAATATTCAAATAAATAAAACAAACACATATAGATAGAGAAACTGTAAGATCCAGTATTTTTCAAGTATGACATTTTATACAGTCTGATGAGGTTATTTACAATTTAGATTTATGAGTGCAGCACTGCTGGCTGCAAATTTTATTGGGGATAAATTAGAGTCTTGGAGAGAGTCTGTTTACCACTTATCAGCTGATGGTGGCATTATACTTTCACACCAGGTGAATACTGAGAGTTGTCGAAGGTTGAAAACATTGCTTGTGTGCTTTTGAGCAAAATTCCACCCACTCCAATTCGATCCAATGCACAGCTGTCATACAATACACATAATTATGGGCAACTTTTCATGTATAAATAAAACAATACATATGAGTAATTACATGTGATACATTAACAATGCAGTAATATCTGCAGTGAATATAATACCTAATTTCTTCTACAATAAATAAATTATGGGACCGTACACCTTTTTTGTGTGTTTTTATTTTAAATAATACTGCGCTTCGTTCATCATTAGGTTTGAAACCTTGATCATTAATGGAACATTTATTAGTCCGAGTGTTTGTGTAACAAGTAATGCTGATAGTTGGTGGTAATGATGATTTGTGTGAACAGGGAAGAGTTGCGTCTCCACATGATGAGAATAACTTCATTTGTGATCAGATTGTTCACTCTGATGTATGTACATTAAGGGTGACATCCGTAAGAGCTCAGATAGTCTTTGTGCACTCATAACTTTTTAACTTCTCTTCTCAGCTATGTGACATACAGTACAGCTTCCTTTCAGGTGGACCTTACCAAATCTGGAAGCTTCACCAAGTCTAACAGGGGCCACGTTTCCATTGATCCTAGCTGAATAAAGCTTACAACCTGACAACGGAGCAATGAAAGAGCAAGAATGATCCAGTTTTCCCAATATCAACAATTTGCAGCTGATTTCATAAAGCGACCAAAAAAAAGACATGGTTGGTAGCAGTTCACCAATATGCTGGTACAAAAGCAGTATGAAGTGGTCCAAATGTTGATGTGATACTGGAGAGGCAGTCAAATAATGTCTGTCCTAAAATATCCTTCAAAAAACACGTAGAAATACAATAGTATCATTTTCTTATGGTTGGAGCTTTGATCTTTGTTCACCAGGGAAAAGTCCAGGCAGCTTCCTTTTGTTTTGCTTCCCTTTTTTTAATATGGTCTGTAAAAAAGAGACAGATAATAAATTAGTTTGTCTTTGTTTTGATCAAATATTGTTAAAAGTCACATTTTACTTTTCATCAAACATGATTGTATAATGTTACCTTTTTGGCTACTTGCTGAGATGAGAACTGATCTTTTCTTTTCTGATGATGTTTGCGTAGGGAATCTGGAAGACAAAAAGCAACAACACTTAGACAAATATATTCAAAAATAATCATGCTCTACAAGAAAAATATACTGTCAATAAGGCACGTTTTACTTTTTACTTTCACTTGTTCGAGACAAAAAACATTAGAATTTCAGAAGGACTTTCAGTGTTGGCGAGATGAGGAAAGTTTTAAAATTACACGGCGCTGTCAGTTACATGAATTAAACATTTCTGAAGTTCATTTAAATGTCTGTGTGAAATTAATGTGTCATTACTCTCAGACAGATCCATCTGCTGCTCCGAGACGCATTTGTCAATTACAGTGTGTACGTGCACTTTGGTGAGCAGCACATGCATGCCTTCAAATGACTTTAAAAGCCTCTTTATACTCGTCTGCCTTTTGTAACGACACAAATGCATTTYGGTCGTGTGTTTGCGCGCACGTGTCTTTTATTGGTGCATGTGCACAGTTTGCTGTCATGTGCGTACGAGCGAGTACAGTTGTAGCATGTGTCAAAACGCAAAGATAAACAGCGTCTGTCAGCCTGTCTGCCAGCTGCTCCTGTGATTGATGTCGACGGAAACGCTCAGACGGCTGCAGAGGAACTCCTCACCCATGAAAGACAAACTGCATGACTGCCTCTGTCTTTTGATGGACAAATAAGCAACAAAACTAGTGTTTATTTGGATCCTAACCTCTGAAATGACTTCTATTTYTATTTTAACCCATGGCCTAAGAAGTCCTAATGAAAAAATGGCTATCCCACTAAACTCCGTTTGATTATGAACATTTTCTAGTTTCAGCAGCATTCTTTAAAACAGTGCAAAAAAAAAGCATATGCATTATTAATATTATTTTTTCTTTGTTGACACATAATGAAATATGCTATTTGCCACTTCCATCAGTTTTAACAATTCACATTAGTATTCTTACCATCTGTAACTGCTGGACCATTTCTTCCCTGTAGGCGAGCTCTCGTTTCATCTGATCTTGAAAATTATCTGAAATTAGTAGAAGAACCTGCTTAGGTGGAACATTACTATCATTTCAGAAACAGATTTTTTTAAAGCTCTCTGATTAATGAAATGTGCTCATAAAAATACTGGATGTGAATAGCAGAGAGGGGTTAAAGAAGAGGAACAAAAGAAAAGAAAAACAGACTTACGGAAGACAGGGAATGGTGAGGTGCCCTTCAGGGCGTGAAACTCTTGCTCCAGTCTTCTCCTGAAGTCGATCTGCTCTAAAAGAACCTTCTGAAGCTCCTCTAGAAAATGAAAACCACAAGAAAATATGCAGAATTGTGAGTAGATAAGTTGGGAGAAGGGTCAGCAGCTAAGCATTCAGTCAGTTAATAAATACATTATAATTAATGAAAGAAGAAACTTGTACCTTTCTCCATGTTCTCCACGTCCTTCTTGAGCGCCACAGGAGAGGAAGCACTTCTGCTCTGATCACCTAAAAACACAGACAAAAATATGTATACATCCAAAAGAATTTACGCAGGTAAACACTTGGCAAACYTTCCTAAAGTTCAAACATGTATTTTTTAACAATCAATCTGATATGACATCTGCTAGAAATTTTTTATCACCAGGCAAAAGGAGAGTTTACTAAACTAATTGTTACTGTTACATTTTACACACTTATGTAAAGATGCAGAGACATCATAGATATATAAAAAAATCAAATTTTATCTGATGCAAAAGAAATGTGTGAATGAAACATTTCAGTATGACAGTTATGTAACTGATAATTAGGTGTTCAGTCTACAAAAGTCTTCATTCTAACAAGATATAAGTCAAGTAAATGTGTGTAAACAACATCCAACGCTCATAAAAAACTAATTACATTTTCTATTTTATTTTATTTTAGTGTTAATGTGATTATTGTTATGATTTTGCATATTTTTCTTGTATTTTATGATATTCCTTTTATTCGTTTTCAGTTAACCTGAATGCTGCAGTTCAACTTTTGACCGCTGGGTGTCAGAGTAAGTTTGTGCAAACTGTTAATGCACAGAATAGTTTACCCTGCTCATTACTTGTCAGACTCATCTTGCTGTTACATCAAATCACAGAAACAGATGTAAACAAATCAGGTGGTTTTTTTTTAAAGATATAACAAGAGCTGATCATAATTTTTTTTAAAAAAAAAAGTTATTTTTACCTGGCTGAAAACAACAACTATTACATTTATTTAGTCTGATAAATGATTCTGTCCTCTATCAGTGACTATTGTGAGCTGGTAAATAACTTAAACATGTTTAGCAGTGCTGTCACGTGAGTCCTGTGATTTATGTTTCACTGCTTTAGGTTACAAAGAAGGGATTTTTTCATTTGTTCGGAACTTTTCCATCTGCAGAGCAAACATCTCTATCACAGTATTGTCAACATTGTTAGGCATGTGTGTGTTTGCATCTGGATTGAGAAAACAAGGCTTTAAATAAAGCAATCCAGAACCTTGGATATGCATATTCTCCTTCAGTCATCATGTGTCCTGGCTCCTTCATCCTCCCTCTCTCTCTCTCTCTCTCTCTCTCTCTCTCTCTCTCTCTCTCTCTCTCCTTTCCTTCTCCTCTCTCTGTCTCATTTGATAAGCAAATTTGCAGACACTGCCCGAGGATAACAACCTCGTTTGACAGTCAATTAACCGTGAATAGTCAAAGCCAAGGCGGTTTGCATTACATAAATGGAAAATTAGATTATTTTTTCTCCCTAGAAACAGAGGGAGAGTTTAAAGACAGTGGAGGGGGGTGGGGGGCTAGTGGGGGTGGACTCAGAGGAATCAGGCCTTCTAATCACGTAGAGCTTCCCACCGCCCAGGGAGACATTTGGCAATCAGGGGAAAGGTGGTCTCATTTAATTTGTTTCGTGTAATTTTTTGAAATACATTATACATTATGCACAGGGATCATTACGATGTYTGCATGTGTAGGGGTTGAGGGAATGTTGGGGGGGGTTGTAGATATAAATGTTGGCACAGATGTCATAAAGCACTTTTAATGTCTCCCTGACAGATATAAAAAGGCAATAAGCTGCGATCTTTTTCAAACGGGAAAGGGTGTTTCGCACCGAGAACGGGAGAAAAAAAAAGGCAATTATGTCAGCGGAGATATGGGCCCATGGATGAAGATTGCCAGCGCAATGCTTATCTCTGAGCTGATGTTTTCTTGTTGAACTATAACAGCCCCCCTAAGAGTAACAGTGCTGGCGACAGCGCTGCTAAATGGAAAAGCGGCAGAGCAGCTTTCTGCTTCTTTTCTTATTTGTTTGTATTTATATAAAATCCCTTTACTTCCCTTCTGAGTGAAACAAAGTTACGGAGAGGCTGAAAAACTGAGGAGCTTTTCCTCACTGCTGTCCTGGGTGTCATTTGTAGTCATAGTTTGAACACAATATTTATTTAACATGATAGCTTTTATGTATGCTTTTCTTTCTCATTTGATACTTTGTTATAATTTCATTTGGGAATTTTATTATAAGTTGAGGCTTGCAGTGCAATGTGAGAATGAAAACAAACAAAAAAGTATATTAAATTAAACTTACAGTTCCCTCTAACAGCTAAAAGGCTGTTTATTTAAATTCTGTTTTATTCTTTTCTTGTATTTCATCTGCCAGCAGCTGAGATTTAACACTTTAATAAAAAGAAACACTTGTCACCTGAGCACTCTCTCCAGTAGCTTGGGGAAGATGTCTCTCTGTCAGGCACAAAGAAACTTCTCTGCTCTTTGTTTTCATCTGGGAGAAAATGTGGGGGGAAAGATAGACACACAAAAAAAGGGAGAGTCAATAAGGCCCATTGGTTATCCGGACACATGGAGATAACAAAGTGTGTGCACAGTGTGTGTCCCCTCTTTGTGTGTGCATTTGTGAGTTAAGTGTGTTTGCCAACACTCTGCAAGAAAACACACAACGAGGTATTTTCCTCCACAAAACGGGTCCGATTGGGAGATGAGAGGAGCAAATGAAACACTGCAGGAATGCGAGCCTCGCAGGGTTCACAGGAACTCTATAAAGCCACTCAGTCAGACAATAAATGAAACAAAGATGCTATAATACAACGGACTCAAACATTTGATGATAGGGTGTAACAGTTTGCTGAAATAGTGTGCAAGGTTATTTCTCAAAACTGTGCAAAAAAAACAACAGATTTAAAACATTTTAAGGCACCGTAAAGTGACTGCAGGTGTTGCACGTAAAGTCAAACAATCCTATCAGCAGCACAAGAACAATCTGAGATTATTATTAAAAAATAAGAAAAAAATGTTTTGTCAAACAACTGTTTTTTAATGTCTTAATTAAAAAAGAAATAACAGACTTAAAAATGCTATATTTTTTGCTCACCAGAAATGCTGGAATTGTCTTTGGTTGCGTATGCAGGTAGTCCTTCATCTCTATTTTTCTGGGCCTATAAAAAAAAATCAAGTTGTCAATAAGCTTTTCTTTCAAACGTTAGCAGAATGTACAGAGCAGGCATGGTGTCTTTTTATTTTTAGATCTGTGCAAGTCACGTCCAGTTTACTTAAGCTTTAAGCTTTCTCCGTTTGACAAAGGTTCTGTTTCTTAAACCAATGCTGGAGTTAATCAAGAGTCCACCTTGAAGTTTATGCTTCTCACTTTGAAAGAAACAAGTTTGTACAGGGTTTATATTGGACTACTCTGTTGCTTATTCCTCCTGTCAGGTGCCTGGTTAATGTGAGTCAAAAGGTTAAAGATTAGAGATTAGAGTTGCCCTAACAGGTTGGGGTGACAGCGAGAGAACAAACACTCTGTGTCCATTAAACAATCCACGCCTGGGTCTATTAGCTGGGATCAGAGCAGGGTGACTGTTTCAATTTCTTTAGGGAGAAACCAGGCTATCAATCTGCTTATGCAGATCACAGCACTGCCTGACTGCAGCRCCATTTAAATAATAATTAGCTAAAGTGGCCTGTGGGGATATTTACGTTTTTGTAAGCTGCATCCTCTCGGTGAGGTGGGGTGGAGCTGGAGAGCGGTAAACTGGCGCGTGGAGAGGCAGGTAGGCTGGGGGAGTCCTGTAGGATGGGGTTTGAGGAGGATCCTGGAGAGGTGCTGGGATACACTGCGTTGCCCCCTCGGTCCTTCCCCCTCTCCTCTCCGGCGCTGTCACTCAGCGCCGGGTGGTACAAGTTGCTTTGAGTCTGTGGGGGTCTGTTTGTGAAACTCCCCTCCTCTTCCTCGTCCTCCTGCTTTGAAGACTCCACGTCCACTTCCCCTTCCTCTTCGCTGTCCCCCRCTTCCGCCTCGCCGTCACTCCCGTAGCTACAACTGCTGGTGGGTGACAGTCGCTGGTGTCGGTCTGACCCGGTGACCACAACTCTAAAGTCCTCATCTGTTGCCCCGACCCCTCCGCTGTTGCTGTGGAGCTTTGCGATGCTCTCTGCGTCTTTGACCACTGGACGAAAGGCAGAGCCGTAGCTCGGCTTTCTTGTTTGGAGAGCTGTGTTGTCCAACAGTTTGAGCCACCCCTCTGACGTCACAGGGCGAAGGTCGGTGGTTCTTGTTGTGCAGTCTGRGTCAAACAACCCTGACCTTGGCGTAGTGGTGCCGTTGCTGGGRGTAATAGTTGTGCTGACACCATTTCCACTGCTACTCACTGCCCCGGCATCACTGGGGTCTGAGAGATCCAGGAAGGCCTGTCTGAGAGAAGGGTTTTCTGTCAGGGAGGAGAGAGTGCTGGGCTGAGGYTGGAGATAGGTGGGGACAGGAATCCCCCCTGCTGCCCTTGGTGGCCAAAACATGCAAAAAGGGGGATAAAAAGTGTCTTTACGGCCAGGCCACAAAAATCCCGACAGCCCGGCGCCTTTGTGCGCCGTTGAAACATCGCTGTCCTCTTTTTTCTGCTGGCAGAGGCCAAAGCCTGGGAACGGATAAGAGGAAGGGAAGAGCGAGGTGGTGGGGAACTTCTGCAACATGCTGAAACCTTTGCTCGGGACGGGGATGACGGGGTAGCTGCACGGCGTTTTGCGGGGAGACAGACTGTCCCCGTCCAAATCRTCCTCMTCCTCAAAGCGACCTCTTTTCTGAGCACCCAGGTCGGGTCCCATCATGTGAGGCACAACCGTACCCGGGAGGGTCTTCATAGGACCCATGGAGGAGCAATGGCTCGATGAGGGCAGTGCTCTCTTTCTGCTCCCTCCATTGAACATGGCTTTGACATCTTCCCATGCRTAGATTAACTCATCCTGCGGGTGTTTGTCGGACAGTTTGAGGTGCCGTCGCCAGGAGTTGAAGTTGGCCGCATCGGGCTGGGTGTACTTGGCATCTGGTGTGCGGTGGGAGTGGAAGATGAACTTGTTTGGGGAGAAGTACATGTTGCAGAAGGAGCACTTGATGCATTTGGCTCTGGAGCTGTTGTAGCGTGCCGGTATGAAGTTCCCACGGCAGCCCCAGGCGCACTCGTGCGACACGTCGAAGGCAAAGTTGTCGGGCAGCTTCGGCGGCGAGTTCTCCCCCAGGAAGGACTTGCACAGGCGCTCGGCCTCGCGCTTGGTGATCATGCCACAGCGGCGAGAGGAGATGGGCATGGCGCCGGCCCTGCGGAGGATCTCCAGCTGAACCGGAGTGCACTGGACGCAGGTGATGCCCAGCGCCACGCGCCGGTTATGGATCTCGTTGTAGCTGTAGTTTTTCAGGAGAGTGTTGGAAATCTGCGCCAAGCAAAGTCTCTCAATGTTATCGATGACCAGCGATACGATAGGGACGCCGTATAAGATGACCTGGCCGACCTGGTTAGGTTTGAGAGGGGAGGAGGAAGAGGAAGGAGAGGGTGAGGATAAGGAAGAGGATGAGGAGTGAAGATGGCTGGGCCTGGGAGGAGTGAGAGGCTCCTGTTGATAAGTTCCTGTTGAGTTTGTCATCATTATGTCATTAGAGCTTGAAAGATGAGCCTTGTCCATACTTAAAATAATACTGTTTGTGGAACAACCTGTTGAAAAAGAGGGGATAAAAGAGAATAGAAAAAATGTAAAAAATAAAATAAAATAAA